TATGGGATATAAACATACATTACAAGTTTAAACCAAATTGGATAAAAATTGTGACCTCTACAGTGTTCACAAGCTAAAAACATCATTTTTCGTACAATCAGGGGTCATAATCCATGAAGGAACCGAGATCTTAGGGTGATAAACCTATATTTCAAGTTTCATTGAAACCGGATAAAAATTGTGACCTCTAGAGTGTTCACAAACAATTGTGGACAGACGGACGCCCGGACGCAGGGGCGATCACAATAATATACGTCCACATGAAAATGTTGGCGTTTAAAAACTAACGGCTTATACTTCCTACCTCGAATTCTTTCTCCCAATCCACAAATGTGCACTGTGGCCAAACTTATTGACCATTTTACCTTCCAGAAATGTGCTCATGTCATTATGTTCAAAACCGATATTAAATCCAATATCTAAGTTTCGATCCCTACGAAACTGGGACCCTGGCAAAGAAGGTGTTTGGGGAACTAACATGACATGCCACAGAAACTTACTGATATATAGATACGGTGGTTTATCCTGGTTTGGTGAAGCTAACTCTTGATTACATCCAGCAATGATACCGACTGCGGCTACGTCCTCCTTCGTGGGAACATAATGATGTCCTTCTATGACTTGTAATAAGGCACCCGAGTCACTGACAACAAAGCCTTTAAAGCCCCATTCATCCCGTAAAATATCTGTTAACAGGAATTTGTTGACACAGGTCGGCACCCCATACAGACTGTAAACATTAACCAATAAAATAATATCAAGATATGGCGGAAACCTGAATTTATCTTTGATTTCATGTGCGGGTTTAATTAAGGAATAACACTTTTAAAGAAATAAGTCAGTTTATCCCCAATGATATATGGGAATCAAAGATAAAAGACATAAGTCTTACCTTGTGTAAGTACACATGATACTATAGGCACCGGCATTAATCATTGCTCTAAAGGCTGGTAGAAACGATGTATGCAAATCTCTTTGAGTTGGCTGGAAAAATAACTATCTAATGATTTCTTAAGTTAACTGATTTAGTTAATGGGAGTATTGGCAAAAACTGTATGACGTCACCCGTTTAGTACTTGTTTAGCTTGTCGCGTCACATTTATTGGTGCACTTTACGTCCCTAGTTGATGGCTTAATCTTTAGAAAATATATCGAAAAGGTGCACCCAGGCTCTAAATGACGTACCGTCACAAAATGAAAATATCAAATTAAAGACTAGATTTTCACCTTGTGAATTTTATATGTGGGTAAGTGTGTGAATTTGGTTTTTGATACGCCTTAATGGTTATGATTTACCCAAAATTTCAATAACACTTACAGAGGCAGTAAAATTTAACTTTAAAGCTTTTTCTTCAGGACCGCTGTACACAGCAAGATGTTTAGGACAGGCACTGGTTCTGATATATCTCAAGTTTTTATCATTTCCTTGTAAACCTTGAACAAAAGCTGAACCAAGAGCTCCACTCATAATTGGATCCTCACCAAATGTTTCCTGGCAAAGAATGTATTTATCAGAAATATGTATGGATTTTGCCTTTTCGCTAATGTACGTTACGTATGGTGTTTCATATAGTAATAAAAATACATTTACTTCCTTCTATTCATAAAGACAAAATAGTGAAATATAATTTAAATTCGAATTATTCTAAAGTTCGCCAATGCATGACCCGTGAAGAAACTAAGCTTTTTCAAGCAATGGTTAACTGGTTGCAATTTCATTAAGACTACCCTTACGTAAAGGACAAAGGGGCATATTTTATTCCAGATACAAATAATTCAAAACTTTAGTGAATCTGTGTGGATTTCCTAAATAGATGACAATGAATATTACCTGATTTCTTCCCCATCTTGAGTCTCTCATGATATTGTTGGTTCCCATATAACAACTGAGACCTTGGTGATCTTCATACGATCCATGTTCAGTATAATTGTTATATTTAGCTCGAACCTCGTGAGAGGTAGCCTCGGCTATACGGTAAAGGAGCCGCTTGCTGTAAAATGGGAATACCAAAATTTATACGCATATATTTGGGCATGCTTTTGAGCCCGTGCTTTGAATGTAAGATGTCGCAAATATTTTCAAAAGTGGACAAAATGTCATCAGTATACTGGACTATATTATGAAAGTCATTAATACAACTCGCCTGAAAGATGCGGTTAATCCAATGTTCTCAGGAAAACTTGTTGCTGGACCTGCTTTAACATCACCTCGCTCACATTCAGTGTCCCAAGTATAAGGACCAATACCCAATCTTACAATAGCTGGTGCTGGACCAAACCGTACATGTCCAGCAAAGGCTAACTGGTACATAATTTCTTCAGATGTAAGTCGACTAACTAAGTCATTCACTCGTTCTTCCCATGGCAATGTATAATTCATAAACGGAAAGTTGGCATTTAAATGCTGCCGTCCACAAGAGGCATAATAATTCATTAGAGCCAAAAATAAGAAACCTAAAGTATGTAAGCGTACCATGTTTAAGAGTGTTGTTAACAAAAGCATAGGCGACTTTGTTATGATACTGTCCACAATGCATGTGTGCTAATGAAGGTCATTTTAGGTGTATTGATAACGGTAACCTTGATACATATAGATTAGAAAGATTTTTTTATCAATATCTAAATATATTATCCATAACCACTGACCAAAAAGGCTGGACGAATATTTAAACTAGAATGTAAGTCCGTAAAAAAAAGCGTTGCTCATTATTGGGAAGCGTAAACACATGTACAATCAGAGCTTACAACACACTCTCACGGCCCCAACATGCCGGAATAAAGTGTAAGAAAACTTACCATCAAAAGTACTTTTATCTAAAAATACTGGTTCCAAATTTATTCAATGATAAATTCTTACCTAAATTAGCTTCGATTGGTTCTATTGATTTCTCTCCGCCATCAAATAAAGAAATAATAAATATATCTTGTTTGCACAAAGCAGTTACTTCTTCATGAATAGTAATTGCTTGTTACTCTTAAAAATTTTCTGACCAATCTGGATTATTATGTTCACCTGTTCATGAATGCATCAACAATCTAGGGTAAATGGAATCTATATGAGAAAATTTTTGATGGCCCCACACCACGTCAAACATATAAAAAAACTGGGTCATTTCAAGTTCGTATTGAATAGTAGAGGTGTTAATCTACTATTCTCAATACACTAACTTAACCAATTAAAAAAATTATAGAGGTTTAAACTGGAATATGTGAATGGGTTCAGTGGCGATTGAGTTAGTGTCGAGATGGATTTGAGTCAGTGTAAGATATAACCCAAATGAACCACTTGGCTGCAACTGTTTGACAAAAAAACGATACTTAATGAAACATTATGCAAGATATAGATATAGAGCTCACTATAACAGTTCAAAACTTGATAACGAGAAATGAATAAATATATATAGTAAACTTTTTAGTCAAATTACTTTATTCTGAGCGAAGTTATGAGTGTTTGAAGATTTGAAAGATTGTCATGTGCCATTGCTACGAATATAACCAAAGTCTGAAGTATCCATGTAATCGTTAAATTATTAAATGGCGAGGCTATTCTAATCCATTCATTATCTAAGCCATCAGGTGGCCAGCTGCGTCTATAGCATATAACTGAAGATGAAATTAAAGGATGCGCCTCTTGTAAGATGCTAATAAAATAAAACCAAGTACGAACAATCCAAACCATTAGACAAAATAGGCAAAATAGTGTAATAAGGCAAAATAGTGTAATCAGCATATGGACTGTTCACCGTGTACAAAATACACGACAAACAGTGGTAACAGGTGTCCGGAAGAGTAAGCTTACCCTGCCTGGCGCCACACCCGCCATAGCTGCATCCAAACTATTAGGCGAAATCTCGGTAAAATAGCGTGATTGGCCAATGGACTATCGGTATGCAAAATGCACATGATGAACAGTGTTAACGATGTAGTAGACAGACATTATCAGGGAGATTGTATACGCGTCAATTAAATATATCTAGAATAATAGCCGAGAGAGACATGTTATATTTACCAATCAAGTCAATATGACGCCCATAAAACTTTTTAAAGGTTTTAATAAGTTTAGTTCGCAAGTATCCCTGTAGTTGAAGCTTAGATGAGAAATGCCTCGATTTACTTAAAAAATCAGAATAAAATGAACAAGCTCTCGCGTAACGAAATAAGTTGAGACACAAACTCTCCATAAACTGGTGATATTGGAATGTTACTACTAATAAATGGAAAGTTAACAATCGGAAATGAGGGCATTTGAGACAAAGACTTGGTGTAAATATTACAAAATATACAGATTGTTCTTTATTTTGTATGATCAAGCATCACCATCTCAGCAATAACCAGTGATAGTACAACGATTCTTTATCCTTCTTATATAATATGTAAAGCTTATAGTAATATTCAACTTATATTGCATCTCTCTTTTATTTTAGTTATATCAATGAAATAACAATATGTTTTATAAAAAAAGAATACTACTGAACGCATTAATAAAATCCTAGAAATTTGGACCCAACAACTGTGATACTGCCTTGTAAAACATTAGATGAAATTCGTTTCTTCTGGTTAGGTTGTTGTCCTCCTACCCAGATGTTGAGATCACCTGGAAATTCAATGCAAATAAAATAAATTAGATTATATAATTAAACCCATATAATTATGACACGGAAAAACCAAGTAATCTTACATTATGATTATCATTTTTTAATTTTTATAAATTTCTAACTTCTATGTGAGATCTAGATTGTTATAATCCCCGCCATGTTCCAAAAAAATGTTCCCTCTCCAGCCACAAACCTGCGTTTCTGTAGAAAATGCCAATCTGGGGGTAGCATTGAATTCTAATGAGTATATTTATATCATAATATTATGTTCCTTTTGATTTTTAAATTCTGTGCTTCTAATAGGTAGAACATCATTTTTTCTCAAATGTCTTTTGTGGACATAGATTAGATACTGGTTCTTAAGTGGCGATATATGTTTATATATACATATATACCTGGTTCTACCATCCAGCCTTTATCATCTACCCAGAGGGCCATATTTTCTGGTGGGATGGTAAAATCATATGACATAGTTGAATGAGACCTGATAAAAACTCTGTCAAAATCAACCAGTTGCATATTTGGTGTTTCTTGTGTTGCATTTATCCAGGAGATGTAGACTTGAACAACCTAAAGTATAAAGAGTATACATGTTAAGTAATATAGATGACGTGAACTACTTTGCCACTTAGATCACAAATACGCTATCATTTGAGCCTATACAATCCAGGGAGAGAAAATGATGATATCCCGGCTAGGCCCATACCTCTCGCAGTGTTTCTTTTGTCCTAATCCCACTCAAACGCTGCTGGGCATACCGATGAATCCTGTCCTAATTTATAAGTGATTAGCAGCCGCGTTAACAACCCATCCATTACAGCGTAAGGAATCAATCGTGTTTCAGCAGAGCTCTAAAAATGTTAACGTAAAAGTATATAATGACAATGGTGGCTACATTACGTCACAACGTGCAAAATTTCTTATCAAAGATCGGCGAATAAGCAGCTCAGCGTAGACTATAGTTGAAAAACTGTGTGACAAAGAATTCTATCCAAAACGACTGAAACGTAAATATTGATATACTAAAATCTGTTTATCGTCTGTTGGGTCACACAGCAGACGAACATTAATACATCTTTAGTACATTTAATCAACTGTCCGAAGTTTTAGGGAAGACCCCAGGTCAAAGAGTCTGTCTGTTACCTAGTGGTATTCACAAACTGAATAGAATCAAACCACGAGGTGAGAGATTTTATTGTTCGATAGACACACTCCATCAAAAATCCAACTTGTGGTTCCAAGTACAGCAATGGCTGGAGAGGGATTTCTTGAACCATTGCGTCAGGAATATGGGTTAGGCCCAAAAGCAAATTCTTTATCGTCTGTCAAATACACCGTCATTTGTAAATCGTAAATACAATCCCAACATTAAACGTTTGCAGAATTATGATACCTACCTCATCTGCATCATAATCTCCTGTATTTTCTATAATAACTGTTCCCTGTACATTAATACCAGCCAATACTTCACTACTGTATTCCATATGTTTATAGTTAAAGGTAGTGTAGGATAATCCATAACCAAATGGATAAAGTGATTCTCCTTCATAATATCTATAAGTTCTTCCTTTCATAGAATAATCGGCCATTGGTGGAAGCTAAATGATAAGCAAGAAATGTTAAACAACGTGATTGGCCAATTAGACTATGTAGCTTTTATCTCTGATTTATTATGACCCTCTGTCGTTAACGTAATGTATATGCATGACCAACGGCACCGCCGTTACAGGTAGTACACACGATTTAATTCTTCAGTTAATCTAGTATTTAAATATCTGGTCTGTAGACGTTGACCATATATACACGGTAATCCAGTATTTAAACACCTGGTCAGCTGATGTTAACCATGTACAAGGTAATCTAGTATTTAAATAACTGATCTGTTGACGGTAATCAGGTATAAGGTAATCTATTATTTAAATACCTGATCTGCTTTCGTTAACAATGTATAAGGTAATCTAGTATTAAACAATCTGATTAAAATACAGATCTATATTTTGTTTCGTTTTTTTATATGGCCTACACTGCATGAAGATCTGACAAGTTGTCCTATACGGTCGTGTCAGGGGTCGTACGAGGATCTTTTGACCCTATGATGTCAGACATTGATTAATCAATCAGCGTTGACGTTTCTAGTGGTTTACCCACAGTTCCGTGCATGGCACGCCAAGAAGTCGCCGTAACAGACTGTTTCATTAGCTTATCTCTCACTCCAATCAAAACGCCGGTAATATAACAACTCTTCCATATCCTAGTGTAGTGAAGACAAGTAAAACGAAATTTTGAACTATAAAAAACGAAACGAAATAGGATCTGTGTTTTAATTAGATTGGTATTAAAATACCTGGTCGGCTGACGTTAACCATGTATAAGGTAATCTAGCAGCAGGAACCGAACCAGCACCATCATTCAGTAAAACTTTCCTTATAGCTATTCCTGTTTCTTGAGCTGGGAACCAACATTCCATTATAGCATCAATAGCATCATTCTCATCAGCCCATGTTATGTTGACTGGTCCTCCATTAAATAACAGAAGGACGATAGGGGCACTGCCCGCTAAAATGATACATGGTATAATCTGAATTTATAGATGTAATTAATATATTTGATATATAAGAACAGACCCCATTCTGCGCTCACCAGTAGTCCGAGTTACTTATAACAGAAAGATGTAAATGAGATAACGAAAGAATTCTGAATAGGATTATTCCTTTTTTAATCAGAGAGACGGGAACAACAGGGTCGCTTTCATGCTTAAAAGGTCAAAGCACATTAAGGAAAAAATTAGGTAATTTGCAAACCCTCCCCAACCTACCACCCACAGCCACTCACGCTTAAACCAGTCTTAACCAGTGAGATTCGCTGGCTCTGAAAGTCAAACTGAAAACGGGAGACACAGAAGCATTTCCCAGCTCAAAAGGTCACAGCGCACTTAAAGAAAAATCTATGGAATTTCCAGCTCATTCCCACGCCTCCAGATACGATTGAATTCGCCAAATACCTCTGTCGTGTCGTGTAACAATCGACGGGCAGATAGGACGCCAGTTGACGTTCAGATTTAAATGTTCACCAATAATATAAACAATATATAGTTATTATAACCGCTATACTAACCACCTGAAACTGCATCCTTGATTAATTGTGGTTGATAATTTGGCAATTCTAGACTGGTTCTATCATGACCTTCTACCTCGATAGCTACACCTATAGTGATTACAATTTCTTTTCAAAATGATAATAAAGCGGATTCAGTCTTTGCGTCTAGGTCAAGTTCCTTAAAGACAATATAGTACTATTGAAGACATTTGTAGTCTCAACAAAATTATCTAATGCAGTTCTGTCTAAACATCTGAATTACAACATTAACACTTTATTTGAATATACATGTATGTCTGGTCTCAAAAAACTTGCCAGGCCAAGTTCCTTAAAGACAATATTATAGTACTATTGAAGACATTTTGTAATCTTGACAAAATTATCTAAAGCAGTTATTTTTAAACATTCGAATTACAACATTTTAACACTTTATTTGAATATATTCCTGGTCTCAAAAAACTTTTCCTAAACCTTTGATATATATATATACACAAATATAATAATTATTGTTTACAAAAATGTAATTACGACAAAGAAATGCGCCCTCAGGGGCGGATCCAGGTATTTTTAGGGGGGGGGGGGATAATGCATGATGCAATCATCGTCTCCAAATTACGTACGCATACATACCTACACACTGAGCTTTTTAAAGAGAGAAATCCAACACCCCGTTTGACCTCAAGTTTTATTATGAATTATCACATGGGTCTACATCATTATCTCGCGCTTTGAATGCCCATCTAATCCAACCATCTGATAATAATAAAGCACACAACCGTGACACTGTTCTCATAAAAATGTTGTTTTACAAATTATTTTTATGTAGCTGAGCAGGAGTGTTCCTGGCCCTTGTTCATGCGTTATATTGTTTAAAGTGCCCAAAGAATTGCAAAAAGTGACCGACAATCAAAGATATGCATATTCTACATACCATTTCAAACATTTAAATACTCGAATAATTTATATATATATATCTTTCCTTGTCGATCACTTTTTGCTATAATTGAACTACAATTTGTTATAATTGAACTAAAAAAAGGACTCTTGTCAGTGATTAGTAGGACCGGGTGAGACTAGTAGTCAAAAAATGTCGCTATAATTGTATCCACTCAAATCTGGATGGACTTTTTGATTTTATCTATAGCAATATTTATCAGTATCCAGTTTTAGCTGGGTAAAACTAGAATACACAAAACGGCAGTTTTGAATCACTGATAATGTGCCGTGGCGTGAGAGACCCGTTATATTATGCAAAGATAATATTTATATATTGAACATTGGCTCGTGTGCCTGAAATATCTGATTATTTTGCGAACAAAACTTATTTTATCCCCCTGGACCCCTTTGATCCCCGTGTCCTTACCTGTGCCCACTGCAATGAATACCATATCCACTCCTGTAACTGCTTGTTGGATTTCTGTGCCATTATAGTTGTCACAAACAGTATCCGAACAGCCAGCAGCGAAGTTTGATCGAGACGCCAGTTCTTGTACTCCAGCTAATACAGAGTATGTATATGCTAAATTCATATCTGGAGCGTAATTTCCATAAAGTGTACCTGTTGTATTAGCAAACGGACCAACCACCTACAAAAATTCATAAACACGGTGAAAAAGGGAGAAAAAAACACCGCAGACATGTCTACTTCAAATGATTCAATTTTTCTAAGCAAATGTTTCCGTACTTACGGCTATTTTGGCATATTTATTCTGTTTTAATGGAAGTAGGCCGTTATTTTTCAGCAGCACAAATGTTTTCATAGCGGCCTCTAATGACAGATCTCTTTGTGCTGGACTTTGGATAATAGATATATTAAGATTTCTGTATGGATTCATTTCTGGTGGATCGAATTCTCCAAGTCGCATTCTAGTATAAAATAACGGCCATACTCGTTCTCTTAATAAAGATTCGTTGATTTTACCAGCATTCACAGCATCCACTAAAAACACAGTGACGTTTTATTATGTTAATTTAATAATAAACAAAACGATATGTAATCAATTTGTATTAGATTATCTTCTTTGATAAATACAAAATAAAACAACAATAATTGAAAATGCACAGATGATGCAGGTACAATAGGTTACACAATATCGACCACACCAAAATGCATAAAATTTCTTTTTCGTTTTTGCACAGGTGAAGCATATAAATGTAGAATGTATTTATCATGGGTATAATGAATTTATATTCCCAGGTACTTACTTATATAAAGATATGGTGGTTTATCTTGGTTTGGGGAAGCAAGTTCCTGGTTACACCCAGCATTGATACCAACAGCCGCCACGTCTTCTTTGGTTGGGACATAAAAATGAGCATTCAATACACCCAACAAAGCCCCAGAATCGCTGACAACAAAACCTTTAAAATTCCATTCATCTCGTAAAATATCTGTTAACAGGAATTTATTTACACATGTTGGTACACCATACAGACTGTGATAAAATACAAAACAATGATTGTAGATTATTAAATTTAGATTAGATGTTATATTACCACGGTTGAAATGTATTCGTCCATTGGTGTAGACTCGATTGTGTTTGTTTTTAATTACCTTGTATAAGTACACATGATACTGTAAGCCCCAGCTTGAATCATCTGTCTAAACATTGGAAGATATGACGTATGCAGATCTCTTTGTGTTGGCTGAAATAAAGTTTAAGCTCAATCATTTATGAAATATCAGCAGTTAACTGTGCTAATTGTACATTGTACAACCTATTGTACATTTAAAAAAAAGAAATCAGATTCGAGTGTTTTCTAATCCGGCCTTTACGGAGAGTTGATTGAACGAAAATATCGGTGTCCATCCGTGTACAAGAACCCGCCGACAATTGAAAATTTAAGAGGGGTGAGTGGAGACGTCGCTGTTCCGGCAATGTTTTCTTACATTGTCGTGTACACGTAACCACAGACATACACACAACCGTATGTTGGGCTCAAATTAACGGTGCATTGTCTTGACGAGATATTAAATCCCATTTGTTTTACTTTTCCAGTCGGTGCAGAAAAGTAGGACGTAATATTATAAAGCACATTTAAGAATGGTATTCTGTTAGTAACCAAGGTAACCTCTGATATCAAGGCGTAAAGATATATAGACCGGATAAGGTGACGAACAATATATGATATAAACTAAAAACTTCTTACAGAGACAGTAAAATTGTATCGAAAGTACGGAATATCCTCCGGGCCACTATAAACAGCAAGATGTTTAGGACAAGCACTGGTTCTGATATATCTCAAGTTTTTATCATTTCCTTGTAAACCTTGAACAAAAGCTGAACCAATACTGCCAGTAAGGTATGGATCTTCCCCGTTTGTTTCCTGTGATAGAAAAATTATGTATGATAAAAAAAGTGATAGTAAAATTATGTTTGTAGGTATGTTTGTAGGTAGCTGTTTGTCAACGACATAATGCTTTTGGACGATTTAGATAAAACTATACTAGTTTTATAGTTTTATAGTTTTATCATTTAAAATGATGCTAAAAGTCGTGTGTTGCATCTTGACAGGATCTATACCTGTCACAGACTGCCACTTTGATTAAGACTTCGATGAAATATATGTAATCGTACCTGGTTTCTTCCCCATCTTGAGTCTCTCATAATATTACTAGTTCCCATATAACAACTGAGACCTTGGTGGTCTTGATAAGATCCATGTTGTATATAGTCGTTATATTTAGCTCGCACCTCAAGAGCTGTAGCTTCAGCTACTCGATAATTTAAACTTCGACTGAAATATGAGGAAATCGATGATAAAGAAAGCTGCCCTTTGCGATCTCTGATGGCCACAATTATATCATAATTTAAAAAAAGGACACCCTATATTTAACAATGGTAAATTACCATTCCAAGTTCGGAACTAATTTTAACGTCATAGAGAACACTTCAAAAATGGAAATAAACAAAACTACCTGAATGAAGCACCTAGACCGATATTTTCTGGAAAACTTGTGGCAGGACCCGCGCCGACATCACCTCGTTCACATTCGGTGTCCCAAGTATAGGGTTTAATCCCAAGTCGTGAAATAGCTGGTGCTGGACCAAACGGTACGTGTCCAGCAAAGGCTAGCTGGTACATAATTTCTTCAGATGTAAGTCGTTTAACTAGATCATCCACTCGTTCTTCCCATGGTAATGTATAATCCATAAAAGGGAAGTCTGCATTTGATTTACTGTGTCCAAATATACTGGCATTTAAACAAAAAAATAAAATTGCAAAAAATTGCAACTGTGCCAATTTTAACGAAGCTAGTGAATATAGCATTGTAAGCTAAAATATAACAACAGTTTTTGAATGTGTAAACGACCTGTATTTATATACTCAATACGAAGGTCAGTATTCGTCTACTGTTCTACTGCCCTGTGTACAAAGATAGCAGCATAATTATATCTTAGATCTGATGTCCTGAATCTATTTTAAACTATACCGTATCTAAATAACTATGAAAAAAAAACTGCTAACAATACAAGATTTAAAAAAGACATCACGCGATCTGATGACAATGGCGGATAACAAATGAAATGAAATGAAATGATGTTTAACGTCCTGCTGTTCTGCTCCTAAATGAAGACGGGCATACGTCATACAGTGTGCTATGAGGGAAATTTTGCCCGGGCAGCGGCACTATCGCCTACTCTTATATCGAATTCCAACTGCCAAGGGATCTTTTACGTGCATTCCAATGTATAGACGGGCCTCGGTTTTTCGTATCATCCGAAGGACTAGACAGCTGTCCTTGTCAGGCCCTCCGTCCAGCATCACTGACAAGGGGGAACCACGCCGGAAAATCTGGATGAACTTTCTCGGCCAATGCAGGGATCGAACACCCGATCTCCAGGCTAGCGAGCCAGCGACCTACCCACTTAGCCACGTGATCCCCTGGCGGATAACAAAGAAATCTACGGCGGCTGATAATGGTCATGAAAAATATTATCATTTCCCTTTTTAATATTCACCCAAGTCAATTTTAATATAATTTGATTTTTTTTATAATTTTCACCCAAGTCAAATTTAATTTCCACGCTTCCGTATTTTTTGTAATATAATTTGGTTTTATAATATTCACCCAAATCAATTTTAATATAATTTGGGTTTTTTTTATAATGTTCACCCAAATCAATTTTAATTTCCACCCGTCATTTGTAATATAATTTTTTTTTATAATATTCACCCAAGTCAATCTTAATATGTATTTTGTGAGAACCTTCCTGAGGAGATTTGCCATATAAATATATTGGAAAGTGAAATAAACGAATTTTGTGAGAATCTCCACAAATTAAACTGAAAGGAAACGCCAAATCCAGTTGAAGTGCCCAAAGTTCAAGAAAAGGGACCCAAAGTCCACGAAAAGGCTCCCTCTGTGCCCAGTAAGAAAAGGGGCCCTTTGACTTCATGGCGAAGCTCTCTGAGTTTGTGTCCAGTAGTAAGGTCAAGAGCCATGCGTGTGACCAATCATTCATCAGTGCACATAGGCCAAGTTGTTTTTTGTTAACTCTTTTCAACACGCTGTGCGCTGAATTCGATGTCTGGATGTTTATTAGCGTTGGTTATGATGGATGAATGCTAATATCAATACCCATGTCCATAGTACACATTGGTGTGCATGTAAAATAACTCTTGACAGTTGAAATTTCATATAAGAGATGTCGTAGTGCATTCACTAGCCCAGTCGGGACAGAACAGTAGGACGTTAAACCCCCATTTCATTTCATTTCAGTGCGTTTCACCGTCAGATCTCGAATGAGAATGTGTCGAACCCTGCACGTTTATTTCCATCCCAACTTCTATAAAACAATGCACGAGAGCAGGACAATCCTGGCATCAAACAACAAACTCAGAACGAAATTTGACAGTGTTCAAATCATTAAATAACAAACACAGTCACCTAATCTCAAACGCCTCCTAACCAAAGCCAAATTCAATTCATCTATCACAAGGACCGGCTTTTATGTATCTAAATGCCCGGATCTTCGATGTAAATGTTGTGACCATATAGCGCTAAATAACAAAAATAATTTTCATAACTTTACTTTTAGCGTCAACGACAATATGAATTGTGACACAAAAATTTCATGTATGTCTTGACTTGTAATGGTTGTCGAGATTTTTATATCGGAGAGACGGAAACGAGTCTACGGGATACAGTACATTGCAAATGGACTCTTATTTGTAAATAGACATATCTTTAGATTTGCACAACACCTACAAATGAAAGTCGATGACATGACGAAAAGTAAAATAATGGAAAACTATTTTATTAAAAAAAATACGTTCCTCGAGTTAATAGTAGCAGATGGTCATTAATTTCATTAATCTATCCCAGGATTATCTTCAACTTATTGTTCTTAAATTGTACACATATACAACAGATTAACACACGTGTATACTATAGTTATATACTATATATGTAACCATAGACAGTGGTAACTATAGCCAATTAAAACCACAGTGTTACTATGTATAGATTGTGTATGCTGCCCATCTCTATGTAATAACATAATTTATGAATAGTCCCAAGACGGACGAAAAATACTTTAAAATTTTAAAATGTTATTAAACCAGTGTTGAAATCAGTTTGTGTCGGCATACCGTGAAACAAAGTAATGCATCTTTACATATTTTTGCTTTATTACATTTTTCATTTAAACGAACTATATGTCTCTATATCAACGTTTTCTTGTGAATATGGAATGTTTGATATTAAATGTTGAACTGAGAATATTAGAGCCAGTTGACTTCTTCTGGTTCGGTTGTTGACCACCAACATATAATTTCATGGGACCTATAAATGTAAAATATTTTGATATTAATACAATCAAATTTTGATTTATTTAATATACAATATTGCCCAGCATTGACTGTTTCTCTAAGTACATTGTCTAATATATATCGAGAACAAATGACAACAAAAAATATATCGGATGACTAAATAACCCACATTAATCTGAATCAATTTCGGGCATAGTGACATCAGTGTATGCGATGTATGTTTTAGACTTTGACACTGTGAAGAAGTGATTGAGAAAATTGATGTTAAAACACATGGTTATCTCCCGTTAGCTTTTATAAAAATATTCGAACGTTTTATCTTTTAGCGAAATTGTCATTTAAAAGTATTGTACAACATACCGGATTCAACTTTCCAACCTTTAGAATCTATCCATACAGCCATAGTTTCAACTTTAACTCTAAATTTAACTGTAACAGTCTGATCAACGCCTAATTCTACTCTGTTGAAATCAGCCAGTTGACTTCTGGGTACTGGGACCGCCGCTTTAGCCCACACGATGTAAATTTGATAAACCTTTCCAATAAAATAAAAATGATATTTCTGAGTATCTATTTCTAACTATCCATACAACAAGACATCACACAAACTTATTAAACATGCATTATGCAAGAGCTAAATCTGCCTATTTCAGGTCTTTCTTTAGGCCTGAAATGTTATCTAAATTATTAATTAGACATTAATTAACCTATCCAGGCCATAACTCTAGATGGCAGCGCTAGCCTGCGATCTTTAGTGGATTGTAAGCCGATTTACTGCATAACTTTCCTTCTCTATTAAACGATTAAATGGATAATCGAGACTATGCTGTTTATCGTAATGACTTTAGTAATGATGACCGAGGCTTATGGGAATTTCAGTCGCTTAGTTCTCGGTTCATAGTGGATCAATTTGAATGAAATTTTCACCAAATTGCCTTTACATTATCTAGTTTTTAACTATTATAGTGAGAACTGCCAACTCGTTACCGAATCTCCCATAATGTATCTTTAATAAAAATTTATTCTACAAAACGGAGTAGTTAACCAAAAAGCGATATCCTTTATGTCTCTTTCAAACGACATCTTTAAAAGTTCGTGTTCAATTGATCTGATCTGGCAGGACCTGACTTTTCATCTAGCCAAAGGACAAGAATGGATTTTACCAATTAAAATGGCTTGGGTCATATTTAAACAAAAAGAATATGAAATCCCACAGGAAAGGAGTAGTTAGATCTATATTAAATTAAATTATCATTTTCGTAAAAGAAATAGCAATTCGTGACAAACGTCGAAATAATCTTACCTCTTCAGCAGCCATACCACCAATATTTGATATATCAACAGACCCAGTTAAGTCCATTCCTGCCATAATACTTGTTGGTATTTTTAGATTACTGTAACTAAATCTAGTATATGACAAGCCGTATCCAAATGGATAGAGAGGTACACCATTAGAATATCTATAAGTTCTGCCAACCATGGTATAATTTGTAATAGGTGGTACCTGTAATAATAAAATATCTACAAGTTCGACCAACCATCGTATAACTTGTAATAGGTGTCATATAATTTGGAATAGGTGGTACCTGTAATAATATAATATATAATATAAGTTATATAAGCCATGGTATAATTTGAAATGGGTGGTACACACACATACTAGGTATAAGTTGTCCAAGGTACCTTTTTAGTCTTGAACCAAATAATGCCAATATCATTGAAACATCTACTAAAGCATCGTCTGGAAGACGGTAGAAAAGCACAGTAAAGAGCCATGTTCACAATAGTTCCCTATGTTACATACCTGATCCATGGTCATTGGCCATGTTACTGGTAGTCTAGCTGAAGGTACAGCACCATTTCTGTTTAATAGGATATCTATAAGAGCATCTCCTGTAGCTTGAGCTGGGAAGAAACAAGCTATAATAGCTGGTACCTGAGTCATTGTGTCAATCATGCTAATATTTAATGGACCAGCATTAAATAATACCAATACAACAGGTTTACCATTGGCTGTCGAAATAAAAAAGAAGCAAGTTTAATAAAAAATGGGTGATCCAATTTAATTAAAATAATAAACAAAATTGAGGACTATGCGCTATGAGAAATTAAAATGGCGAATCTTTCTACAAAGTTTTTGGAGTTACTTATGTGAGCATTTAAAGACTACATGCTAGTATGTGTATTGGACGGCAACGTTTCCCGTTTATATGCACTTGTACACTTATGCAGGATAATTAATTAGTTGTCTGAGTCCATGTTTTAGAGTTACTTCCTCCTTTGTAATAGAACCACTTTTATTATTGTCGCCATGTTAATGTACCGTACCTCACTGACGGGGCATTGAGTTTTTACGTACGATTAGTGCATGTAATGTATTAATAAAAGCAGTAAAACCTAACCCTGATGTGTTTTGATTTCCACTCGGAAAGCGACATGAGGAGTAAAGTAGAAAGTAAAGCTCCTCAAGTTACAGTATGTTTTCTATTATTTCATGCAAAAATTTTCAATTTTTACATAGAGTTTATCTCTATCATATTATTAAAATTTGGACATGCGAATATTTAAACTTCCCCTGTGACCTGATTCTGAACTGTCTATTACCACTTACCAAATTTCACGACATCCAATAAAAGATCTAGTTGGTGTCCTGGCAGTTCCAGATCAGATCTATCATTCCCTTCACTCTCTATTTCTTGTCCTGAAAGATGGAATCTTTGAATTTTTATTCTTTAAGTGCATTTGTGGATTTGTTAAATAAGTCTAAATCTGATTATCGTAAATTAAATGATATTTGAAATAATATTCTCGCCATTCTCAGAAAAGCAGGTTCCATTGCATAAATTTATAATCCATGGGAAAGAACACCAACGTTTCAAATTGTTCCAGAAAGTATTACTGACTTACATACATCTACCACGTGCACGTTTCCAAAGTTATATCTAACATGATTATAGAACGCTCACCAACCTGTTCCGAGACACACATAAACTCCATCGACACCTTTAATGGCTTGTTGAATTTGTAGACTAGAATACTGAGTACATGTATTATCCTGACATCCAGCAGCATATTTTACGTTAGAGGCAACGTTTTGAAAGGCCTGGAGAGGTGTAGTAGTAACTGTTGGATTAATATCCGGAGAATAATCTCCAAATTGTTGTTTAATATTATTAGCCATTGGTCCCACAACCTTCCAATTGAAATACATTATTTTGATAGTCATTGTGAAAATACACAATTATGTTCTCTCAAAAGCAAACGAGAGAGAGAGAGAGAGAGAGAGAGAGAGAGAGAAATGGGGTTTAACGTCCACTCGACATAATACGCTTGCTCGTAGGGGTCTTTAGCAGTGGGAGGAAACCGGAGGCCCCGGAGAAAACCCACGAGGTTGGACAGGCGACCCTACTCCTTGCCACGTACAACCGGGGATTTGAAACCACGCCAGTCGACTCAATGACAGACTTTATGATACAGCGCGCACGCTAACCATTCAGCCATCCAACCCCCCCAAAAGCAAACGGAAATGGCTTATATATATAAACCATACCCTTTTTCTTAAATAAGAGTTTGTTACATGCTGAATATATTTGATAGTAATGACTGATGTCTATTTGTGATTCGAGTTTATACAAGTAGTACTAATGTATATTTGAGATTAGAATTGACAGAAAAACAATCTGGTATTAAACGATACTACCGCACAATTAATGCTTTCAATTTAGCTTATAATATATTATATACTCACTGCAACAGAGTTTAGATATTTTCTGGGTAGAAATTGTTCATCATTTTTAAGTAGAACAAAGGATTTAATAGCTGCCTCTAGGGCTAAAGCTTGGTGAGCTTTACTTTGTACAACTGATAAATCTAACTTGGTATAGGGGTTCATGGAAGGTGGATCAAATTCACCAAGACGCATTCTGGTATAAAATAATGGTTTAACTCTACTTCTAACCATATCTTCTGTTAGTTTACCCTGTTGTATAGCTTCCTCTTGAAATATAAAATATTTTAAACATTACAAAATTATCACTTGAACAAATCGAACTTTATAGGTTTCTTTCTTATGTGACGTTTTGCAATGAGGAAGGAGTTGTGATAAATAAGACTGTTAATGAATACGAAGAATATTTACAGTAATTGCAGATGAACTGAAATGGGATTAAACCCCCTACTGTTCTGATCCGACTGGGCTAATGAAGACGGGCGTACGGCATACAGAGTGCTATGAGAGTAATTTTGCCTGGGCAGTGGCACTACGGCCAAACTTCTACCGAATTTCAACTGCCAAGGGATCTTTTACGTGCACACAATATATAAACGGGACCTCTGCTTTTCGCGCCATCCGAACAAGTAGACAGCTGTCCTTGTCAGGCCCTCGTCCTGCGCCATTGACAAGGCATATTTCGGATATTTAAAAAAAAAATAAAGATTACTGAACATTTAATTAAGAAAATAAGAAATATAAATACCAACGGTAGATAATCTCCTGGCTCGGATCTAATCGGATTAAAAATAGGTCTATCTAAATATTTTACCAACACATACAGGTGGCTCTGTTTTGTTTATATCGTCTGTCGATGATGTCTACCGTGGCAAAATTTTCAATTCATCATTATCTTTATGATTACTGGACTGATATACCGTTTACAGATTCAACTTTCACAATATTGCACTTGTAGTTTGCGAGTTATTAATACCCACCCACCCCCACCCCACCAAATGACGATCAGTGAGTATAATGTTTTGAAAATATACCCTCATGAGAGGGTTAACTTGGATCAAGTATTTGGAAGTATGTGCATACATGTGTAGTTCCCAAAGAAAAGTAAATTATACTACCCATGGCGAAGTAAACTGGCTTTACTTCATTTGTAGAAAGCTCCAGATTCAGGCCAGCATTTATGCATAATGCTGCTGTATCAATACTATTATTTAAATAATGATGATACGTTATAATGTTTTCTACAGCTTCTTGATCACTTATAACATAACCAGTAAAATTCCATTCATTTCTTAATATATCTGTTAATAGTTTCTTGTTAGCACATGCTGGTACACCATTTATCCTTGAAATTAAATGTTTAAACAGTATTTGTTAAAAAATGTACAATTTCAAAATAATTGGAAGCGGTTGCAATACATTATATAGATATAAGAATGAAGTTTAATTCATTTTTTACTCTTTTAGTTTTCTTTTAGAAATACACGCATATTATCCTCTTATAATCATACTAAACGCTATCCTACCTATTAATACTGAGCTTAATACACCATACCTATTACGATTAAGCCTAATGCCTCTTACCTATTAAAACTGCACATTAAACTATATGTACCAGCATCTACACAAGCCTTGAACTGTGGTAAAAATGTCGTCCTCCAGTCTCTTTCTGATACCTGAAACATAAGTCTGATATAGAATATATAGTCTGTAGTTATATCTGTTCTAACAAGTTCTATCTTTATTATTAAAATCACATAACATTAAATGAAAGAAGATTGTGGGTGGCTTCTAATTCATTTCGCGAAGTTGAGTAATACCTCAGCCGTAGTGCTTGAGTGGGCTGATAAGAACCCTCGGCATTTTTCAAGCCTTGCCCCAGTCATGAATAGCACCAGTATGTATGTCTGACAAGAAACATAACATGGAAAACTAGATCAACCCCTGCACATATTGGCATGGATGTAAAAGAATTTGATGAAGAGCAGTCATCAACGAAGCCAATCTTCTGGCAAAGTATCCGCCCTTGCATACCGTCAGGTGTTTTTGCCGCAAGAGCGAGATGGAAGTGCATTCCGTCGGGTTGTGAATTCAAATATCACTTTTACGTTAAAACTTTCTGTGCTGATTTTGTGCAACATTTGTTGCATGGTTTTCTGGGCATCTTGTGGTGCACAAAGGTCATCTTCTTTACTATACCTGAGCATTAAAAGAAAATCTTGATACAGGAATATTTTCAGGGCCTCCATGAACATCAAAATGTTTACATCCAGCATTAGCTCTGATATATCTTGTATTATTTCCCTGTAAACCTTTTACAAAATATGAAGCTAATACACCACTTAAATAAGGATCTTCTCCATAAGTTTCCTACAATAAAATCAATATTCAAGGGGCATTAGCACTTTGGGGGTTTCTGCCGGTTGGTAAAATGGGTAATTTCGAATTAAGGTGATTAAGCTATACAGTTGCATCGGATATGTTCAATTTGATACAAATCTGTCGAATTGTCGCTGAGATAAAGATGTTTTAACAAGGGCTATTAAAATATATCCAGTTCTTTTTAAATTCGATAACTTACCCAAAATAATTCGGGTGTTCACTGGTCATAGTGCGACTAGCGTGAGAGGTGTACAAAAAATTAAACCTTACACAACAGAGAAGTGTATGTATTTCAGTGCTTGGTTCAAGAGTTACGGTTCATGGCCAAAGCGAAAATTCCTTTTTAATGCATGAATATTATTTTTAATAAACCTAATTATTCTTCACCTATATGTTTCTTTTGAAATTATTACTGATGATTACTGGAGTTTTATCCCTTTTATCAATTTAAATTTTTAAAATTATTATTAGTGATGATTTTATTACTTACAAGCGATGAGTTATATCCCTTATCAATTTAAACTTCTTAAATTATGACTGATGACTTTGCCCATTAGGGAAAAATCGGCTCCCCATTGGACGCAACGTGCCCATATCAGTATGGGCGCCATATAAAGCCGAGTGACACTGGTTGGATGGCCACGACGAGCTTGGCGCCTCATAATGACTCACACGATTAACACCACAACTGATCGGGCTCCCAAAACGGTATGATCTGTGGGGTGCCTTATCCCGGAGGGGCGCCCATAATGACATGATTGGTGGGGCGCATTATAATGACAATATCTGATTGTCGGGCCGCACATAATGCATAATGCCGATCAAGATTGGTTGGGCCCCCATGACTTTATCAATGGGGCGCTCAAAATGACATGATTTGTGGGGTGCCTCATCTGGGAGGGACGCCCATAATGCCGAGATTGGTGGGCCGCCCACGACGAGATTGGTGGGCCGCCCACGACGAGATCATGGGCGTTTTTGATTTTTGTCTTAATAATGAGTAATTACTCCAATCCTCAGACATTCAGTAATTCGTCGTGGCATGCTCCTAATCAACCGTCCAATCACGGTTTTGGGAAATCTGACCCACTCCTCTTGCAGATCCACGGCCAATTCTTGAAGTGTTGTCGGTTGACGTTGACGTCGACGAACACGTCTCCCGATCAAGTTAAACGTAACACACTAAAGCAAAGATACGCTAAACAGTAAATCTTATGCAAGAACCGATAGGAAAGCAAAATTGAAGTGTCTAATTTGACAATGAACCCCTCCCACGTGTATGGCGCTATTGCGTGTCGCATGTGCAACTCAGTGGTTCTGATTGGGCGATAAGTTCTTCATCTGTGAACATACTCTCAAAGCATGTCAAGTGTCCATGACTATTTATCATATCACAACCTGCATAGGTATTTGCATTTCAATATCCCCTACTTTTTTTTTGAAGAGTATATATTAATGGCGGGCCGCCCAAAATGCCGAGTGAGATTGGTTAGGCGCCCACGAATGACCCGATTCCGAACTTTTCGTTTTTCTCATAAATTATTATAGATATGTTAAAGTCGTATTCCCTCCTTCAAATTTTTATAATGTTCATATCAAAATATCATAATACGCCAGTATCGCAAATTTAGCCTCAAAATTGAAATTTTCCGTTATTTTGAGGTGCAAACCCTATTTTCCAAAAGTTTCTGGGGGCAGAGCATCCTATAGCCTTCTCATAAGGGAGACGTATCCATCGGCGCCCCCAGAAGCCTTTGCCCCCCCCCCAACAATTTTGGGCTAGCTACGGGCCTGATCAGTTTATACTTTTGAATTATTACTGGTGTTATTATTATTTACTAGGGAGGAATTATATCCCTTTAATCAATTTAAACTTTTGAAATCATGATTTTATTATATATACTCTTCAAAAAAAGTAGGGGATATTCAGAAACAATACAAAACTGCGGAAATGCACTGCTGTTTTTATTAGAGGTAACCAGTGTATGTTACTAATAGGCCAATTGCGTACACATAAACAGAAACAGTTCATATGGGCGGCTTATCTGACGGCCCCATTTCACTCGCAAAGAGATACACCGTCAAAAGTGAAAATGGACGTTTTTGATTTTTGTCTTAATAATGAGTAATTACTTCAATCCTCGGACATTCAGCAATTCATCGTGGCATGCACCTTATCAACCGTTTAATCACGATTTGGGGCAATCTGACCCACTCCTCTTGCAGTGCCACGGCCAATTCTTGCAGTGTTGTCGGTTGACGTTGACGTCGACGAACACGTCTCCCGATCAAATTAAACGCAATACACTAAAGCAAAGATACGCTAAACAGTAAATCTTATGCAAGAACCGATAGGAAAGCAAACATGGATAGATAAACCAGCACGCGGCAGTTTTCATCAACCCTTCCTTGAAGTGTCAAATTTGACAATGACCCCCCCCCCCCCCCCTACGTGTATGGCGCTATTGCGTGTCGCATGTGCAGCTCAGTGGTTCTGTTGTGGCGATAGATAAGTTATTCATCTGTGAACATACTCTCAAAACATGTCAAGCGTCCATGACTATTTATCATATTAAAACCTGCATAGATATTTGCATTTCAATATCCCCTACTTTTTTTTAAGAGTATACTAAAGATTCATATCCCTTGTACCAAATGTGCGGTCGAATGTTTTGTTGTTTCCCCATATTTAATGTGAATTATCATCATCATTATTTCTTGGGCGAATTTCTAAGTTCTTTACAGAGTTATTTCAAATTCGCTAGGTCGTTCATTGGGTCGCTATGCGATTTTCAATATTTTAGGATGGAAAATAGTATAGTAATCTGTTGGTGGAATTTGTAAATGTGATTGTTTAATGATTTGGGCATGGGGATGATCCCTGTCGAAATGACAATCCTCATTCAAGGGGAAATGGTTAAGTAACTTGGCTACAAATTCCCAACTAAAATATATTTGCATGAATTGCTAAACGGCGATATCTTATTAGGGCCCAGTGAACAATCGGTGCACTATAATGCCCTCAAGATAATGTAGATTGGACAGAATTGCGTACGAAAGATACAAGGGCTGAAAAATCAATCCGATAAGTAACTTGAAGTAAATAATAAAGCACGTGCCAGTGGTTATCATGTTATATAATGTTAGACACGATTCCAGTAGAAGTGTATAAAAATAGATACATTAATGATACAACCTATGTATATTGATAAGATATGGATTTTAAAAATTGTCATGTCCTTGAATATTAAAAAAAAAATCAATTTAAAGAACATTACAGTCCTATGATATCACAAAATAAGCACATTTCTCTATTTTTTTTTGTGTGTGTGTGTGTGTTATTTGTTGCAGTTTTTCTCTAATTATTTATTCATTCAAAGGCTTGCTACTACTTACTACTACTGATATAAGACCTACCTGAATTCGACCCCATCTAGGATCTCTAACTATATTTATAACAGGACTAAAACAACTAACACCTTTATGATCACCATAGATCTTTCTTCTATTATAATCATTATATTTAGCTCTAACTTCTATACTTGTAGCTTCAGCAACACGATAAATCAGATCAGGGCTGAAGATAATAATTTAATTATGCCAAGACTTTATGGAGGGAATATAAAATATTTTCTGCCGTCGGCTTATTTGAATTCATTGGTGTGAAATGCGTCTAACTACAAAAATAAATCTACGATATCTTATCAGACAGGAGTTGGGGCAGAAAATAGGACGTTAAATCCCATTTTATTTCGTATGGATGTCCAAAATTGCTTACACAACAAGAATACAATGAATTAAATTTGTTGTCATTTGCTGGGAGTATAATTCTATCTGCAGTTATTATTTATAATTATATCTATAGTCTATATCCTAACAGTAACATAGGATGTGCATTATATAGGCGTGTTATATACATGTACATAATAGTGTAGGTATAAACTAACTCGCGTTTATTTAACTGTCAAACTGTCGCCTGTTGACATACGTACTAACAAGAACATCCAGGATTTAAGCTATATACAGTAACACTCGGACAATTTGAATAAAATGAGACAATTCTAAAGTAACACAGTACAGCTGTGGATATTTTGCCACTTTAAATTTAATGTTCCCTATTTATTTACAAAGTGAACAACAAAAGATACCTTATATTGAGAGCATTGCTAACTAACCTAAATGAAGCAGCCAGACCTATTGCTTGGGGAAAAGACGTCGCATTTCCAGCAACAGCATCACCTCTCAGACATTCGGTATCCCAAGAATAAGGTCCAATTCCAAGGTGTCGAATAGCAGGAGCTGGACTTGCATGGGGACCGGACCCACCTTTGCTCATCTGTAATTTAATTTCATCAAGCGTCAGTCTTCCTACTAAATCATCAACTCGCTGGTCCCATGGTAATGAAGGATTGTTAAATGGAAAGTCCGCATAGGTGACCATAATAAAAGCACATATTACAAAACACGCTACAATCCGGATTTCCATTTTGATTTACTTTATACACAGCATGTAATTATAGTAACTATACGTATAGCTATAACATATAAAGAATGATGTCACGTGGTTTTTGTACACAAAGGTATTTTACGCCAGAAGCTAAAACTATTTCAAGCAAATAAAATGTGTTTACTTGTATTTATTTTAATTAATTATTGATGACAATATGGGGTTCTACCATTTAAGGTCAATTTAGATTGAATTTAGAATCTCTCACTTTCTCATCATTAGCCCAGTTCGGAGCAAAACAGTAGGACGTTAAACCGCATTTCATTTCATTTCATTTCATTTACTAAATAAAACAGCAGGGACAGCGGCCGCCACAGTACATATTATAAAACACGACTGTACCGCACGACTCTCTCGGCAAATAAGGCTGTAAGGGGTAAGATAGGCGTTTTCTAATTCTCTGACTTTAATTTCTTGGAAAGTTCGAAAAAAAAAATAATACAAAAACATCTCCCTGTGTCTGTATTTATCTTCTGGTAATATATTATACAAGATTTGATGACCATAAGACTATTTGCCTATTGAGTTTCGCTGAAGAAAAAAAAATACATGAAATACGTATCCTTATAATACCCCTTACCAATCACTTTACAATAATTCAGTCAGTCACAAAATAAAAAAAAATATTGCCTAGATTTTACCATAGATTTACCATAGTTAAATAGACCAAGCGTATCCATAAATCAAATAGAGGGTAAATTTCACAGGGGAGAAATGAAATCAAATAGGGTTTAACGTCCTACTGTTCTGCACCAACCGTGCTAATGAAGATGCCATCCAACTTACTGTCAAGGGTTCTTTTTACCTGCAAGCCAGCGTGTATATGGGACCTTGAGTCCCACAGTGGAGAAAGAACGTCGATCGGAATAAGGATAAAAGAAACAAATAAGATCACGTTTCAACGTGTTATTAAAGGATTACTTGAAACAACAAAAATTGAATTCAGCTAAAAAAAAAAAATTCCTTTTAATCAAACATGCATTTTTAAGCTTTATTGATGAAATATTTTATACGTGTATAATAAACTTTATTTTCAACTAGCTGTGGTATTTCTTTCAATGATGGCAAATCTTGAATCAAGAACGCCAGAACCGGTTGATTTCAACTGAATAGGTTGTTGACCTCCAGCATACAACGTCATAGGACCTAAAATAGAATACTAGTTTATTATGAACTTTAGAGGAATATATTTCATTATTTATAAAACTCTGGATACCACCGGCACTATTTCACTGCATATTAAAGATAATTTTTCGATGACAGTCCGATTTAAGATCATCGAAAATCTGTCAGGTTAACCCCCAATCAATCCTCTTCAGTGTTTTATCCAGTTCCGTATCATATATATAAGATTTTCGATGATCTTAAATCGGACTGTCATCGAAAAATAATCTTTAATGTGCAATGACATAGTGCCGGTGGTGTCCAGAGTCGGATTACCGTAAAGGCTGTCGTCTACGGCCCAATAAAACATTGACAACCTTTTATATTCAACCGGGTTACTTATTAACTTCACTGCATGTGTCTATGACTATGATTTTGATGAACCGGAATAGCTATGAAGAATGAATATTTATTTTCTTAGTAAAGAGAGATCTTACTTCAGGTACTATATATTTAAAACAAAACTACATATTTAAATCAAAAATAGAGCAGGTATTGTTGTTTACCTGGTTCTACAACCCAACCTGTATTAGAATCTATCCATACAGCCATAGTTTCAGATTTAACTGTAAAATTAACTGTAGCAGGTTGACCAATAGTAATGGCAACTCTATTAAAATCAGCAAGTTGAATATGTGGCACAGGAACGGATGAGTTTTCCCATACGATGTAAATTTGGTAAACCTACAACATTTCAAAACTTCAACTTCAATTAAATAAAGATAATGGGACAGTTTCTACAAAACATGAGAAACAATAACCGTAATTATAAATCAATTAGAGGTATATGCCATCAGAAACTAACCATGATAAAGACGTGTAGTACTGGGTGTTCAGAAACTACAATGACATTTATTTCAAAGCCAAGACGCCATTGTACGCGTCAGAGATCGAATAATGTCAGGTCAATGTACAGACTACTGCTAACAAAATGAAATTTGTATCAAATTGAATTACTTAATATCTTTTCCATTCACCCGTTTGTATAATAATAATAATAATAATAATAATAATGATATCTTTATTCAAGTACTTTGTAGCCAAAAGCCAATGGTACAAAATGTATACAATATAAAAAGAAAAAAACAACAACACATAATTATTCAATATAAATGAAGAAATTAAACAGCACACATTACAGAAAAATATACAATTTTATATTTACGTTGGTTATATTGATAGTGATTCTTCCCTTATTGTCATTCGGATGAGACGAAAAACCGAGGTCCCGTGTACACATTGGCGTGCACGTAAAATATCCCTTGACAGTTGGAATTCGATATAAGAGTAGGCCGTGGTGCCGCTGTCCGGGCAAAATTTCCCTCATAGCACAGTGTATGGCGTATGCCCGTCTTCATTAGCCCAGTTCGGAGCAAAACAGTAGGACGTTAAACCCCATTTCATTTCATTTCATTTCTTCCCTTATTTTCATACCATTTTTGATATATACACAAAGATTCTTAATATGATTTTGGTTTTTACATTGGAATAACGACTTCAATTTCATTCCGTTTGGTGATGAGTGGCAATATTTCCCCAGCAAGTTCATTCTAATATCTTGCAGGATTGGACAGACAAGAATTGTACTCGTTTTCAACACATTTCAAATTACAAATTTTACACACACGCGTTTAGAAACAGGAATACCATTTCTACGGCCCAATTCAATGTTAAGTTTATGCTTTGAACATCTAACATTAAAATTTGCTAAATAAAATCGTAGTGATTAGGCTAGATTAATATTTATGTAATTCTCACATTCAAAATCTTACTTTATGACAGAATAGAATGCGCATTTAGTTGATTGGGGTGGCCGTTAAATAATTTGTTATCTACTACAGATTGGTGATAAAGATGCTGAATACTTACCTCTTCAGCGGTCACTTTCCCAATATTTGCAATTTCGACTGAACCTACTAAATCCTCTCCTGCTATTATTGTTGATGGTATATTTAGATTGCTGTACATGAATTTTGTATACGATAAACCATAACCAAACGGATAGAGCGGTAGGCCTTGAAAATATCTATACGTTCTCCCGGTCATCGAATAGTTCGTCGTAGGTGGTACCTAGAATAGTACAATAAAAAAAAACAATGATCAAGAAAATATCAGAATTACCCTTCTAGAAGAAATCGGGATCAGGAATCCGACCACTGAGTGGTGTTTTAAATAACATATCAATATCATTTTTACATTGTTCGAAATACTGATTATATTTAGATAATATAAATTACGAATGTAATTTGTGATTACAGATAACTTTAATTATAGTTAATAATATCATATGTGTTTATTACCCATCAGATAATATCATATTTGTTTAGTATCTATCAAATAATATCATAATTTTATGTGTTTATTATTTATCAAATAATATCATATGGTTTATTATTTATCAGATAATATCATATGTTTTATTATCTATGAAATAATATCATTTTCTTATTATCTATCAAATAATATCACATTTGTTTAGTATCTATCAGATAATATCATATGTGTAAACACTTCACGTGTAATGAAGCGCTATATAAATCGAACAATAATAATAATAATAATAATAATAATAATATCACATTTGTTTATTATCTATCAGATAATATCATAAAATTATGGGTTTATTATCTATCATATAATATCATATCTGTTTATTATATTTAGATAATATAAATTACGAATGTAATTTGTGATTACAGATAACTTTAATTATAGTTAATAATATCATATGTGTTTATTACCCATCAGATAATATCATATTTGTTTAGTATCTATCAAATAATATCATAACTTTATGTGTTTATTATTTATCAAATAATATCATATGTTTTATTATTTATCAGATAATATCATATGTTTTATTATCTATGAAATAATATCATTTTCTTATTATCTATGAAATAATATCATTTCTTATTATCTATCAAATAATATCACATTTGTTTAGTATCTATCAGATAATATCATATGTGTTTATTATCAGTCACATAATATCACATTTGTTTATTATCTATCAGATAATATCATAAAATTATGGGTTTATTATCTATCAAATAATATCATATCTGTTTATTAATCAAATCCTAACGTGTGTCCTAACTGATCCATGGGCCATTGTTTGCAACATACCTGATCCATGGTCATTGGCCATGTTATTGGTAGTCTAGCTGAAGGTACAGCGCCGTTTCTATTTAATAGGATATCTATAAGAGCATCTCCTGTAGCTTGAGCTGGGAAGAAACAAGCTATAATAGCTGGTACCTGAGTCATTGTGTCAATCATGCTAATATTTAATGGACCAGCATTAAATAATACCAATACAACAGGCGTACCGTTAGCTGTAAGTGAAAACAAATACGTTGACCCCGGCATAGGCATCGTATGCAAAACAGTAACATAAAGAACAAGTTTGGTTAATGCTTTACTTTTGTTTATTTAAGTTTTTTTTTAAAACAAAAATTGCCGTCAAGGTCTAAGGACTAACCCGAAAACAAATATGACCCCATTAAAACTCCACTCCCAAGCCAACTAAGCTCTTAATCGAGCTACGCTCCCCTCTTACCTAAGCTCTCGATCGAGCTATGCTTCCCTCTTACCTATATATCAAATCGAAAAATCCTGTCTTCTATGAAAGACATGGAAAAATGTTCATAGTTAAAGAGAGATCATTTTGACAAATATTCCAGGAGGATGGGATGCTTAGAAAGTAGCAGAGGGCTACAAATAAAATAACCATGTTTTACCATATTTGGTAGTATCAAGAATAAGTTGTTTTTGCATTCCTGGAAGTTCTAGATCAGGTCTGTCATTTGCCTCGCTCTCCAGTTCTTGACCTGGAGATGAAAACAGGATTAAATACACTTTCATGATTAATCTTTGACGTAATTTTCTTTAATGCTTTCACGATACTTTAATGTTGGAAGGTATTTTATTATACAATGGAATATAATTTTTGCAAATTACCTGTTCCAAGAAAGACATATATTTCATCTACACCTTTAACGGCGTCTTGTATTTGTAGACTAGAATACTGAGTACATTTATTATCCTGGCATCCAGCCCCAAATTGTAAACTTGATGCAACTTGTTGAAAAGCTTGTAATGGTGTTGTACTCACTCCTGGATTAATTTCCGGAGAATAATCTCCAAATTGTTGTTGAATATTATTAGCCATTGGTCCCACAATCTTGTATATAAAAGGTCATCAAAATGTGCAATTTATGGAAGTGGTAAATTTCTTGTGATCATATATATAATCATTAATTTATCGATAGGAAGATTTTAAAATGGTTGGATTTAGGGGACAGATTCATAGATGAAGGATTAATGATTGCGTTTATACATAGATCGAGGTGGTGTCATATAGGTTGAACGTTTCAAAGGTCGATTATACGAAATGGATACATAGATGGAATTAGGCTCAGTGGTTGGATTGTTACAGAAAGAATTCATAGATATGTAGAAGCTTAATGAATTATCAGTTATGAATTTATGAAAGTATATTCGTAGATGTATGATGACATGGTTTATACAGAATGATTTTTTACGGGTAAAGTGTAACGGGTGAATTTATCGGCCCAACGTAGGAAATCGTATTGATTGGATCTATAAGGGATAATTTCGTAGATCTGGAAAGTGCTTACAGAATTTATACAGAACAGATTTATTGATAGAATTAGAATGATGAATGGTTAGAGTTACAGGATAGGTTATCGGATGGAAAGCTTAAATACGAATACTCACAGCAACGGTATTAAATGTTTATCTGGATGGAAAGCTTAAATACGAATACTCACAGCAACGGTATTAAATGTTTTTCTGGGTAAAAAGTCTTTATCATTTTTAAGTAGAACAAAAGATTTAATAGCTGCCTCAAGAGCTAAAGCTTGGTGAGCTTTACTTTGTACAACTGATAAATCTAACTTGGTATAGGGGTTCATGGAAGGTGGATCAAATTCACCAAGACGCATTCTGGTATAAAATAATGGTTTAACTCTACTTCTAACCATATCTTCTGTTAGTTTACCCTGTTGTATAGCTTCCTCTTGAGATTGGAAATAAATGAAGAAATGATTTTTTTTTTTTAAACATACATTATGCAAGAGCTAAATCTGACTATTGCAGGTCTTTCTTCAGACCTGAAATGTTATCTAAATTATTAATTAGACATTAATTAACTTATCCAAGCCATAATCAACTCTCGGTGTCATCGCTAGCCTGTGATATTTACTGGATTTGAATCGGATCTGCTGCTTAACGCTTATTCATGATTAAATCAAAAACTGGATATGTTTTATTATCGTGCCGACTATAGTAATGATGATCGAGGCTAGGTTTAAAATTCAATCGTTAAATTCTCGGTTCAGAATGGATCAATCTAACTGAAATTTTCAGTAAATTCCCTTTACATTATTTAGTTTTTAACTATTATAGTGAGAACTGTCAGCTCTTTATCTAATCTCCCATAATATATCTTTAAAGAAGAAAGTTCTAATACATTTTAATTCTAGAATTATCATAGTCATTGTAGTTGCAATCAACCTTAAATCGCTTGTTGCTAGCCGTTAAGGTAAAATACCACGGAGTATCAATATTTTACCTCTGACATATCACATTAATGCAGTCCAAAAATGTGCCTAAGCCATTGCATGTCACGTTACAAATTTGGGAAAGTTTAAGAAAATGGTTTGTGGTTTAAACCATGGTGAATTACTGTGGAGAACTCATAACTGTAGGCACTTGCGCCCGTCCAGTGGTAAATATAGTATATTTATATATAAGATAATAGCCGTATCATACTCACTCATGTATAGATAACTTGGATGTGGATTATTGCCTGAAATTTCTAAACTACACCCAGCATTAACAGCAGCAGCAACTGTATCAACACTATTATTTAGATAATGGTGTTCAGTCATAATTCTCTCTATACCATTCTGATCACTTACAACATAGCCAGTAAAATTCCACTCATTTCTTAATATATCTGTCAATAGTTTCTTGTTAGCACATGCTGGTATCCCATTGATACTGAAATATAAAGGATTATCTAATAAAACGAACCTCTTCTATAAGAATCATTCAGACTTTTGTCTTGTAAACGATATTTTGGACTAGGAGCTTCTTGTTGTTGTTCGTCTTCATGGTGGTGACGTTCTTCGCAAAAAGCCCAAGGCTCCACCAATTCCAGTACGATCGACATGAAACTTGGCACGCGTGTTCCTTGGACAATTCCAAGATGGCCGTGATGACTGGTCCATAGGACACTCGTACTTGTTACTCTAGTGATTTTATAAATGGAATTGGGGAACAAGCCGAACCTATGTAAAACTTGTTTTACGAATATTATGAATTTATTGAATTTTACTTCTTTGAGAAAACCTGTTACAATTGTATTATATTTCTTTATTAAAACTAAGCTTAATATATCATACCTAATGTATTAATGTATTATACCTATTGAATTAAGCTTAATGCATCTTACCTATTAAAACTGCACATTAAACTATATGTACCAGCATCTACACAAGCTTTAAACTGGGGTAAAAATGTCGTCCTCCAGTCTCTTTCTGATACCTGAAACATTTATGTCCACCATTCATAAAAAATGTGTTTAGATCATGTATGTCAATCTTGGCCATCGATTCAACTGATATTCGGTTCGGGTTAAGACAGTATAGTAATTGCAACCGAATTTAATTCAAAGAACATATTTGAAAGCATGTTAGACAGCAGACGTTTGCTAATATTAAGGATTACTGCAGTTACCTGAGCATTAAAAGAAAATCTTGATACAGGAATATTTTCAGGACCTCCATGAACATCAAAATGTTTACATCCAGCATTAGCTCTGATATATCTTGTATCATTTCCCTGTAAACCTTTTACAAAATATGAAGCTAATACACCACTTAAATAAGGATCTTCTCCATAAGTTTCCTATAATAAAATACATGTAATCATATAGTGCACAGAGTAGGATTTCAAAATACATGCAATCATACAGTACACAGAGAAAATCAGGATTTTAAAATAAACGTACAGTACACAGAGAAAGTCAGGATTTTTAAATATATGTAATAGTACACAGAGCAGGTAAGGATTTTTAAATATATGTAATCATACAGTACACAGGGCAAGTCAGGATTTTTTAAATGCGTGTAATCATACTGTACAATTTCAAAATGGAACTTACAATCGGATTTATTCATTATCAAGAACATACTGTTCTTATCAGAGTGTAGATAAAGAAACATACAATTTAGACACGCAAAACTGTGTCATGGAAAAGTCGATAACCAGTACTAGTATGTTGAACGCGCACCTTGAACAGTTCCTTTTATAGACACCTAATTAACTCACCTGCAGTCGACCCCATCTTGGATCTCTAACTATATTTATAACAGGACTAAAACAACTAACGCCTTTATGATCACCATATATCTTTCTTCTATTATAATCATTATATTTAGCTCTAACTTCTATACTTGTAGCTTCAGCAACACGATAGATCAGATCAGGACTGAAAAATCAGGATGTGTCTAGATTAGACTCATAGAGTTTCCGTATATCAGAAGGTTCTGTGGCTTGGACTTAATATGCTTAATCTGCTATAATAGGAATATAGAGATACAAAATATTTTCGAGTCTTACCTAAATGAAGCGGCCAAGCCAATAGCTTGGGGAAAAGATGTAGAATTTTCCCTAAAAATCCCTCGAAGACATTCCGTATTCCAGGAATAAGGATGGATCCCAAGACGTGGAATAGCTGGAGCTGGCCCAGCTTTTGGACCAGCTCCTCCTTTACTCATCTGTATCTGAATTTCATCAATAGTAAGTCTGGCAACCAAATCATCAACTCTCTGATTCCATGGTAATGCCGGGTTGTTGAACGGGTAGTCTGCATAGCTTTCAGAGATGATTATAACTAATATAATCCACAGTCTAATCTTATGTGCCATGTTGTTTATATCGATTTGTTCTTATAGAATACAATGCTAATAGGTGTACTATATCTTAAAAATTTCACCCTAGTCACGTGACATTTTATGAACTAATCTGTGCAAGACTTTAAAAGGACACAGAAAAAGCATGGTGGCGATTTATATATCTTTCATTATAAATACCATTATAAAATACCATTATTCATTCATGCAAAAATTTAAAGTTCGCACATTTTTTAAACTTGTCATTTGCACTATTCACAATCCCATCAGTGAACTTAACGTTTACGCAGTGTATGTTTCAAGAAGGTTCGTCTTGGAGGTTAATCGCGTTACATTTTCAAATGGTATTTTTAAATCATAATATTCATAAGATTTCAATTTTCCCCCCCAGGCTTACTTAAATTTCGTTTCGTCTTATATGTACATCCTCAACTAGTATTTTTTGTATTTGACTAGCAAAGCAGACATTTTGTCTAAACAGGAGAGAGAGAGAGAGGGAGAAAGATGGGGTTTAAAGTCCACTAGACACAAATTAGGTCATTTCGGGGCTAACTTAGAAGTAGGTGGAAACCGGAGGACCCGGAGAAAACCCACGAAGTTGGACTGGCGACCCTACTCCTTGTCACGTACAACCGAGGAATCGAAACCACACCAGTTGACTCAATGACACACGCTAACCATTCGGCCATCCAACCCCCTAGATCATTATATTATGACAGGACAAACCGTCTATATTTTACAGATTCAGCAGGCGTCGTGTGTAAGTAATAATATCAAAATAGAATATAATTTTGAGGGATTTCTCTATCTTGTATAGAAGTGTGACTGCAAAATCCGTCGGTATCACCACCGTTTCTGTGGTAAAATGAGGTTGCTGCAAAGCGTATTATGAATACTTCTTAATTTAAACAAGGCCTATATTATTACAAGTTTATTCATACAGTGCAAAAACAATAACAAATTATAAAATGTAACAGACATAACAAATACGAAAATATAATATGGATTAATCTTTATTACTGCTGTGTGGAATTTACATTTTGATAACATCTAATTTAATATTTTCCGATAAATCTAGACTGTTTAATAAGGAATGTTGCAACAAGTTCTTGGTATCCGTTTGCTCCTCTCTGAAAAGGTTGTTTACCACCAGCATATAAACTCATATAACCTGAAAGATACATTGTGCCAGGACTGTAAAATAGGTCAAAACACTGCTAAAAAGAAATAAAATCAAAACCACCACTGAAAAAGCCCGCCCCAGATTTTAATAAAATAATATCTCTATTTCGTTTCTTCTTTAGGGTTCTGATTTTCTTCACTACACATTTAATGTATTCACAACGTCTTATTACGCATCTATAGAGTAGTTTTCTATCTGCCAGTTGGTTTCAGTTACCCGATACTGCACAAATATGATAGCAAAATCCCTGATCATTCGATTAATACGCATCAAAAACATGTTCTAAAAAAAGTAAAACGAACAATATTAAATATACCTTGTTCTATCACCCAACCTCTATTAGAATCTATCCATACAGCCATACTTTCAGCCTTTATTGTAAAATTAACTGTAACCGTCTGACCAACGCCTACAGCTACTCTATTAAAATCAGCCAATTGAATTTGAGGTACTGTAACAGATGGTTGCATCCACCTAATGTAAATTTGGTAAACCTGACGTAATAAAAAAAAATGTTCATGTATAATTGTTTCAAAATAATTCGATTGATGTATTTTTTTTTAGAGATGCACTTAAAATTATATGACTTTACGCCATGGTGATGAAGTACATTTGAGTCTTATTGTTATCGCAACCATGTCCATATTGTATCTGTCCAACATAAGTACCCTATTACAGTGGTTGTGGCTTTCGCTACAGAGTAGGGGTATTACTTTAAAAGCATCTAACATTGCTTCTTTTATTGAAAATTCCACGAATTCGTGCTCCTGAATGTTTAAGGGTGATTGTGGGTCATTTTTGGAAACACCTGGTACACATAGGAACACAAGATACTTTTGTACATCTACCTGTAAGCCCACCTACTATTACACTGTTCATTATAAGGTTTATGTTACTATAGTTTGTGTGAAAAGTGCAAAGTTAAATCAGTTAACATCATATTAGAATCTTTCTTTATCAGCATATTTCCCGAATTATTTAAAGAGTTACAGCACTTTCCGAGAAAATGTTGAACATATTTCGGCAGGTAAAAATGCATATTAGACATAATTAGTGTTCAGTCTTCCAATAAGTATATATTTTACTTACTTCTTCAGCAGCCATGCTACCAATATTTGATATATCAACAGACCCAGTTAAGTCCATTCCTGCCATAATACTTGTTGGTATTTTTAGATTACTGTAACTAAATCTAGTATATGACAAGCCGTATCCAAATGGATAGAGAGGTACACCATTAAAATATCTGTAAGTTCTACCAACCATGGTATAATTTGTAATAGGTGGTACCTGTAATAATAAAATATCTATAAGTTCTACCAACCATGGTATAATTTGTAATAGGTGGTACCTGTTATAATAAAATATATAACATAAGTTCTACCAACTATGGTAGATGGTACCTGTAATAATAAAATATCTGTACGTTCTACCAACCATGGTATAATTTGTAATAGGTGGTACCTGTAATAATAAAATATCTGTACGTTCTACCAACCATGGTATAATTTGTGATAGGTGGTGTCTGTAATAATAAAATATCTATAATGGTTGGTATCTGTAATAATTACATATCAATAATTCTATCATAATTTAAATAGGCGGTGCCTATAGTTATCCGTTCTATCAATCATGGTATAATTTCTTTTAGATATTATCAGTATCTATACGCTTCATTTGTATCAGTTCTATCAATCATGGTAAACTTTGTTATAGACAGTATTAATATCCATACGTTCCATTTGTCTACGGTCTTTCAATCTTGGTATACTTTGTATTAATATCTATACGTTCCATGCGTATGCTTTCTATCCATCATGGCCTACTGTGTTATAGATGGTATCAATATCTAAACGTTCCATTTTTATACGTTCTACCAATCATGGTATACTATGTTATAGATGGTATTAATATCTATACGTTCAATTTGTATATACGTTCTATCCATTATGGTATACTTTGTTATAGATGGTATCAATTTCCATTTATATACGTTCTACCAATCATGGTATACTTTGTTATAGATGTTATCAATTTGTATATGTTCTTCTATCAATCATGATAATATAGTTTATTATATGTATCAATATCTATACGTTACATGTGTATACGTTCTATCAATCATGGTATACTTTGTTATAGATGTTATCAATTTGTATATGTTCTTCTATCAATCATGATAATATAGTTTATTATATGTATCAATATCTATACGTTATATTTGTATACGTTCTATCTTTCATGGTATACCTTGTTATAGATGGTATTAATATATATGACAATATTTTTGACGAGCTCCCCAGATGAGCGAAAAAGTACTTTAAAATGTTCAAATGTTATTGAAACAGTGTTGATATCAATTTTTGTCGGCATACCTTTTATCTTTTCGTCGTTTAACATGAAACAGCAGTGCAGCGTTACGGTTGCGGTAATATTTTTGGATATAAATATGTAACAATTAGATTCTGCTCTGTCATAGTTTGTAACCTATAAGCGTCCTTACTAATTTCAATTTCTTTGATGAAACATAACTGTTCTGGATAAGCTGGTGGTATAGAACAATTACTGTATATAATATATTTGGTAACATACCTGTTCTATGGCCATTGGCCATGTTATTGGTAGTCTAGCTGAAGGTACAGCGCCGTTTCTATTTAATAGGATATCTATAAGAGCATCTCCTGTAGCTTGAGCTGGGAAGAAACAAGCTATAATAGCTGGTACCTGAGTTATTTTATCAATAAAACTAATGTTTAGTGGGCCAGCATTAAACAATACCACTACAACAGGCGCACCATTAGCTGTAAGTG